GGCCTACACTGATGTGCTAGCCACTATTGAACAAATAATTCAGGAAATATAGATATACGTATAATATGCTTATATACAGTGTTTCGATATTTTTAAACCGGTTAAAACCGTAACTCCACAATATTGTACAATTAATACTAAAAAAATTATGCATAGTAGAATATTGAAATAAAAGTATTTAAAAAAATCAGTTATTGATTTATTTATGAATTTGTTCGATGATCAGGTTTTTTTTTTCTATTTCCTTAACTTACAATGCAATCGTTTTTAGCTTTCATATTCTTTATGAACGTTCGATTGTTATGATTCACTCTGCGTGTACTTTTCAACGTCACGTGCCCTAGAGTCACATAAATATACAGTAGCCTACCATTGTGTTTTTTTTTTTTTTTTTTGTTTTTGTTTTAGTTCAATACCGCGTGATTCGTAAGTAGGCCCATTTACATCATATCATATCGTGGAATTTTCACAATGATGCTCTTGATATTGTAGTAGGCTCCAATGTAATATTCCGTGATCACTGATAAAACGGTTTACCCTGGTGGAAGAATCCTACACAAACCTCTAAATGTCAATACAAAAAAAAAACAAAACAAAAAAAACATACCGAAATAAAGCTAAAATTTGTATTTAGTTTTTGGGAATACGTTGATTATATTTCTCAACTGTTAATGAACTTATGAATATGCTAAATGAGCTGTATATAAGGAAAAGTGATTCCACACGGTTAAAACATAAATACCGGGGTTAACGTACGCGTATTCATCTAAACGATGCTACGTCCTATACTGTAGCAAATCAATTTACGAAGAGCTCACATTAGAGGTGTAAAATTAATGAATGTTTTCCAGGCTAATAATAGAAATATTGTAGTTATTGCAGTAGGAGTCCTGTTTCTCCGTTAGCTTTAATTGGCCCCTAAAGTAAATCGCGATTCTCTTCAAAACCGGATTTTTCTTGTGCAAAATGCTGTTTCTTCTATAGTATAGATCATAAAGTATACGTAGACCAGGGTCACATGTTTCAAATTCGAACCTTGGTGTTATATTGAGCGATTCATTGACAGGCCTTCGATCGTTACAATTGAATAACAGCGCGAGTTCAGTTAATTCAGTCAATTGAACCGAAGAATAACCATTCCTTGCTTGAAACGTTGAATATACCCCCTCTATCGTATCGCGTCCTTGTACGTTCGTCTTTCAATATAACCGAATCAATAATACTCGTTATGTTTAAGTCGACACGCAGCAGCCGAAAACGACATAATACTGTAAATAAATAGCTGAGCTCATCATATGGCATGATGTGAGAGTGATAACTGTGACGACGATCAAATTCCGTAGCAGATTGCCGATTATGCACTCAATATTTCGGTGATCATGGATTTAGGCCTTTTCTATTTTTATACCGTTGTCATAGGAATGAAGGCAAATAACTCCATCGCTGTACAGTATTCCGTATAATCGACAGTGGATCTTGTTCGTAACGCATAAAGAGGTGTTGACATTGCACTCCTTCACAGCTGATTTACTTCCATTGTTTGCTGAGCTTAGTGTATGGTGCGATGATTTTCATTTCTGTCATTCAACGTTTGAGACTTGTAGTATAGATAGATATCACATTCAATACTGTATAAGAATATACTTCGGGATAAGCTTCCACTTGAGATGGAGTCAGTGGAAAACACCGCGACGCATATAGGATATCGACGGTGGCGGCCGCGATGGATGCAACGTTTCGCCACGGCCAAAACATTTGTCTTGTTCATGTGCTTATTAACATTAGTGGAAAGCATGATGCTAGTTGGATACACTAGCAGTGTGTTGACGTCTATCGAACGACGATTTCAAATCAAAAGCGCCGAAGCTGGTCTTATAGTTAGCGCTTACGAAGTCGGTAATTTCTTAGTCGTCGCCTTTGTCAGTTACCTGGGAGGTCGTCCGGGCAGTCATCGACCGAAATGGGTTGGTTTCGGTGCTTTTATCATGTCTGTAGCCGCCTTGATTTTCACCTTGCCTCACCTGATCGGGGAAGCTTATATCCCAGGTAGAGTTAATTCAGAGAATGAAACCGACGTATCTATTTGTATTAGAAATACCACTAGCACAACTGCAAGCAGACAAGCTGAGCAGTCGGACAATCCAATCCTGGACACAGATGTACGAGATGTAACTGTTTACTACGACTGTATGGAGGGGGGTGGTAATGCTTCCGATTACCTGTTTTTCTTCGTAATCGCCCAGCTACTACTTGGGATGGGTGCAGCCCCTATGTTTACACTAGGTGTTACGTACGTAGACGATAATATTGGAGCGACAGAATCGGCATCATACATAGGTAAGAGGCTGCGCTTAGGGATGCTCCTATCCATCCTCTGCTGCCAAATTAGTATTCAATATTGTTTAAAAAAAACTAAATATGTCTATCATTCTTTCGCGGATTCAAGAGGTGAGTAGCGGGTGGGGAGGCCTATTCTTCGATACCCAACATTTAATGGAAAGAGCAATAACCAACACATTCCGTAGTACAAAACACATGATGATGATGGTTAATGTGATGTGAGCTGCAGCTTAGGGTGGTGTGTTTAAGGTGCCTCTCTTCCAATCTCTGGGTTTTAAGTTCAAATCTTGCACTCCATGGTTTGTTTCCTATGTGACTAATTCAACCCCACTCCCTTTCTAGAGTTTATGTAGAGCATCATAATATGCAAATGTTGTGAAAGCGAGCACTTACATATAAATAATAAGTAAATGTAACAATTGTTCTGAGAACAATGTGTGACGGGATAATGAGAAATACAGTAGGCCTAGAATCATGATGAATAACATCCGGTGCTTTAACCATGCATAACACAGTTCAAAATACTACTATAATAATTCCCATTATAAAATATCTAACCATATACTATCTGTAGCTGTAGTAGAATCTGCCGTCTACTATCACTGAATAACAACAAACGTTTACCGATATTCAACGACATAGAAACACGGCTCCATGAACACAATGGGTTACTTTGCTCTATTAATTATGATGTGATTGTAGATCGTCAATGCTTTTTAAAGGATACTGAAATTAGTGTTGCTAATTCATGCTATAGGCCTATGTGTTGACTACCTTGCATATGTATTATATCGTGGAGCCTGTCCCCGAATAGGCCAATGCCTCCATGACTATTAATTTAAAGGCCAAGGCTATAGATTACTGTGTTTTATACACACACACACGCACGCACACACACACACACACACACACACACACACACACACATACATTAATAGATTTGCTGTGTGCGCGATCATTGGCGGATCCAGTCATGGAGGGAGAAGGGAGAATAGGGTAGCTAGCTACCCCCTATCTTTCATTTGAAAAATCCTCAGATATAGCCCTCCGTGACCAAATACAAAGTAACCTTTGTTTTTTTTTAGGCCTACATAGGCCTATACTTTGTATTTTTTTCTTAAACATAGGTCTACGCCATATATTCAATTCCCATTCCACACACATTCAATCAAACCATTGAACTACACATTTTCAAGCATTTATAATTTACAAGTGATTAACTTTCATTAAAAACACAAGTTAGTTTTTATACTTTTTGCTACGATAATTTAAATGGTTTGAAAGACAACGGCTGAAGTTACAACATGACCAATAATTAAAAATTTAATAACGGTTTAACTATTTAATGTTTTATTATTTGAATTATTATTATTAGTTCAGCACCACAAACAGTATGTATAAGTTCTACTGTTTTCTCTACTCTCTCCGTTCCACGCGCCTCAGGATATTGGTTAAGTAACAATTATTGTTGTGTCTTCTTAATAATGTGACCATAATAATAATAATAATAATAATAATAATAATAATAATAATAATAATAATAACAATAAATATATATATAGTCAGGGGGGCCTACCTAAGCCACCTTCTTCTCCACCCAATCAGTAGACCTACATAATATGCCATCATATGCCTTATTAAATTAATGTTTTGTCCAGAGAGGGAAATTGGATGAAGAAATAGTCTAGATACTTTTTTTTTCTTTTACCATGGCCTACTCTATTATAAACAATAAAGGAAGTCTATCATACCAGATCGACATCCGTGTGATCAGATCCATGTGATCTAATAAATTATCTCACCGGGTTCAATAACGCTGCGAATGCCGGAGATAATTATACTATGCATATACCACCCTAATGCTCCGAGCACGAGCATTCTGGAATAACCGCCAAGAGGCAAATATCATAATATACAAGAATGATGGTCTATTTTACTCTTCAGAGGTAAAATCCAACGCACCATCTATTTTAAATAACAAGCGATTTTTCAGTGGTTCTTTGTTTAGGCAGTAAAATCCATGGTCAGATCTGGCCAATGACAAACTTAGACCTATTTTGGTGCCTATTATTTGTTATCAATTATCCACGTAGCCTTTGTAAATACTGTAACGGGACTATCTGTTTTGAAATTTAACATTTTGGAAAAGTAGACATAGTCAATCATGACGATTAAACTGACAACACAATTTCTGTTGTAATATTCAATAATTAAGGATAGAAGATGAGCGTTTAGTACTGTATGTTTTAAATCCCACATGGCCAGGGGAGGGTCCAGAGATGTCCAAAGGGGGAGGAGCGAAAGGGGGAGGCCGGCCCGCCCCCACCTAAATTCTCCCCTGATGTCGACTATCCCATCATGGCACAGATCTTAAAGTTAATGTATAAAGTTAGGCTTAAGGCTACATCATGTGATTATGGTTCAAGGTTTATCAAGTATAATCCCGTTTACAATTCATTATTAATAACACATAACGAAAAGAACACATTTTTACATTGCTTTCGTTGTGCACGGTGAGTTCACTCTCGTATATACGTGTATAAATAGCATTAATGGGCCTACTCAAATCATTGCTTATAATAATGGATCGATAATAATAATTATATGATACGGTACGCCCTTATTTGAAGCATTTTAAACGTTAAGACAGGATCTCATAAGAGGAAGGAAAAAATGTATGATTCATGTAAAGAGAAGAAATGATCTTGCTGCCTATTGTAGACAGGAGAATCTGCGAGAGTGAAGTGGCTCAATCGAGATTCTGACACGGGAATTCTGCTTTATGTGCAGATGTTTTGATCAAGGGCCATTACAGATTTCGTTACCGTACAGTAATTTGTTAATTAGAGAGGCAATGAATTAATTCAAGAGATCACTACTCATAAACTGATGGTTCTTGTATACAATAACTGTAGTAGTCTCATCGATTTAGATACCAACATTACTTCAGCTTTTTTGAGTAATGACCTAGAGGGATTTTTTTTTGGGGGGGGGGGTGTTCACTCATGGTTGACAAAGCGGTAATGCCTTGATCAGGGCTGGAACTAGCCTTTTTCATACGTGGTATGAACCTTTGGTTATTGCTGGTGAATTCATCTTACACTTTTTCAAATGAAAGTGAATGATTTAACGATTTCACTATATTAATGACTGTAAAGCGAAAGGTTAAATGCAACAGCATATGTAAACTGAAATCAACTATACAGAAAAACAACCGTACTTTTTATCTCTGCGGTGTCAACATTGATGGATAAGTTGTTTGTTCTCACGAATATCACGACCAATACGTGCGTTTAGTCAATGCGCTTTACTTCAATTCGTCTTCCATGGTCTTAATAATATTGACTTTCTTCTTCGGTTTCTTCCTCTTACCCTTCCCCTTTCAATTCCCCTCCTCTCCCTCTCCTACTCCTTCTTCTTCTCCTTCTCCTCCTCCTCACATTGAATTACAAATGAATGTATAATAATAACTGTGGTGTGACGAATCGCATTGCTAAATCTCACTTTATAATTGCACTCAATATCAATCAAGTCGCTCAAAACATAATCAAATATAGTAAATCAATTATGTAATTATTAAATTGAATTGTGTAAAAATAAATTATATGAAATCGTTTGTGATGTAATTTTCTTAATAGGTATCGTGTATTGCGTCACAGCGATCGGGCCGGCGCTTGGTTTCTTGCTAGGCGGTCTCTGTGTTAGCTACTACGTCGATGTAGGATCCGTGTCAGCGGAAGATGTTAACATCTCCCCCGGTGACCCTCAATGGGTAGGGGCCTGGTGGATTGGTTACCTCATCTGTGGCTTCCTTATAACATTGTTCGCTCTGCCTGTACTCGCATACCCACGCACATTAAGACGAAGTCGTGATTATGAGGACGACGATCGACCCAAGTCGATTTCTGAAGGAGGGGATCAAGAAAGCAGGATGGTCCACATGCAATTCGACTGTTCAAGCTGCCGAGGTGAGTTTATGTTTTTTTTATGAGGATATTGCATGATTACAAGGGTTCCAAATCTCTCGGAAAGTCTAGAGTCTCATCCCGGAAATCTGGACGTTCCCGGACGGACTCCCGTAAATAAGCATAAATCTCCCAGAAAATAACCCATCCCGCAAATTCATAATTTGCATGTTTTTATTACTTTAACATCAAGTGTCTCACGGAAGTCAGTGCCGATGGGTATCACCATTCGCTGCAAAATAAAACTAAATATGTTAATATGTTAGTATGTTATAGCTCACTTAACCAGATCTCCCAAAGGGATTCCTTCCAACTTGGAACCCCTGTTATCACTTCAAAATGTATATCCATGCGTATTTTGCTTAATTGTGTATAAATAATTCTTACACGTACAAGTCTTCAGTCTTGGTTTTAATTAGGGTTTTAAGTACAACTATTCCAATTTGATAAACAACTACAATTGTTGCTGCGCCATACGGTCAAGAGAGGATCCGTCAGGAAAAAAAAGCGATAACATTCCTCAATTTCTGGCTCGCCAATAGAAGAACAAACCTTATTCAGTTCAATTAAAATTCAAGAGTTATTGGCTTCAGTTGTGCTAATTAAATGTCTACTAAACTATACGATGCAATAGCCTACAAATTTACAGTTATTTACAATAGTAACAGTACCGGTAGGTATGTAGAGTAAATTATTTAAGCTTGTAGGCCTACCGGTATTATTGAAAACTTGCTTTTATTAGAGAAATGATGGAAGGGTCAAATCCATTGTCAGTGGTTATCCATATAAATTCTCGTGTATATTCAGTGAGTGTTTATGAAGCATAATTCTTTGAAGCATTGCGGTTCAAAACGCTACGGTATACTGTATTGTATTGTAAAAGCCATTGTCATTCCTTGTGTATTCGGTGAGTCAGTGTGTTAAAGCACGAAACTACGGTACTGCACACTTCTTTTATAAGACCAGCAACATTGTGCCCAGGCTCAGTGTTGTTATTTTTCACCAATTTCAGGCTCCAAATTTCCTCTTATTTTGTTCTTATTTTACATACTGTACTTTTCAAAGCTAGGCAATTATTATTGTACAGCAGTATATCTGTACAGTGTTATGGATAGAAAATACAACACTATTTTTCTCTATGATTATAGAGCGTATAACGTAGTCACACCTACTACACACATGAAGTACCGTATAGATAAGACCAAAGGAATTTTACTGAGTTTTTTTCATAGTTTTACATTTTGATCTTATTTTGGTCAAATCCAAAGGGTCAAAATCTGGGTCAATTTGGTCTTATTTTGTTCTTATTTTCTAAGCATTTCAGCCTCAATATTCGTATTAAAAAGATACCTTGGGAGTCATGTCAAGTCCTACTCTACTTCATATCAATGCTCACTACCCCCTCACGCCTTCGTGTGTTTCCTGAATAAGTAGTTGCGAAGTACCCGCTCAAAGTCAAAATATTTCTCTAACTCTTCAATTTTCAGTTAAAGAGAATTGCAGTATTAGGCCTAACTGGATTTTCCCGTTCGAACGATGTATTAATATTATCAGATACAGGTACTCATAACCTTTAGTGTACTAATCTTTCCTATTTTAATTCATTCACCATATTACTTTCATATTCTAATGCGCTTTTTATTTTTCAACACACTTTGATTTTTGTTGGCTGGCAATTATGTTTTTATTATCCTTTCACACGTATATTAATGTCTTCCATATTTCATTTTTCGTGTATATATTTTTAATATTGTTTATGGCTAAACTTCTCAGAATATTCTTATCTTGCCATAAAATAGCAAAGAATTTGCAGTTAAAAAATACTCCGTTCGTTTGATTGAAAAACTGTCTTGGAAATCGCGGGACCGGTGACGTATTTTTTTTTAATTGCATGAATTTTGCAATTCTACGATTCAAAATTCGACGTCAGCAAATTGAGGAGGTATAGGGTGAACGTCCTCCGTATTTTAATATTAGAATATTGTGTCTGGCAAAATTATTGAAGTCATTATTTTAATTTAAAATAGCGGTCATATACCCCACCTCCCTATTTTCGAAGAATTACTTGCAAACGATAGATACCGGTACACAACCAAATGTTATTTTTATTACTTTTAATAAGCCAAAGCTAAAATGTAAAGGTAATTATGTAATTTATATATAAAATTTGAATGTTTAAATTATATATAACAAATTTTGAAAGTAGGCTATAAAATATATTTATAATATATAAATTTAAACGGTAAAGAAGAGGAATCTGCAAGTTCGAAAAAACGCCCCCAACCGGGATTCGAACCCGGGGCATTCTGTTGTCTATG